AGCACTCATGAATCAGATTTCATCTTGATAGGCTTTTTATAGACCTGTAAAAAAATGAAGCCCTGAAATTGTGTTAGGTAATGGGGATTCTGACAGACCCTTTAAGTACGTGGAACTAGGAGGTGCTGCTATAATTCTGTGCTTCAGATGAAAATTCCAAGTGTTTTCATTAGGTACAGCATCTTTCTATTACAGATAACAGATCTCAGAGGTGGTGATGCTGATATCAACTTCTAGTGGGCTCAGAACACAGTGTAGCTTGTACAATTAGGTTTTTTAAATTATTTTTTTCTGCACACGCAGATTAACTCTGTAGCAGTAAAAGGAAATTACTTACTTGCTACCGAAATTGTCTGAAAGTGATATGATCATCCTTTGTAGAGTCACATTAACCAAATTAAAAACCCTTGGGAAAAATTTGGCACCCTGTTTCTTCCCATTCACATCTTCCTAAAGACCTCTCAGGAGCTTCCATTTAGAAAGCTAGGATCATTACCAGGGCTTTTAATTTGGAAAGATTGGTTGCTCACCAGTGAGTCTTTCTAGACACCTAGTGGTTGGGTAGAGTGGCTTTGCAATGTTCCATCCTCAGACACCTTGACTTTACTATTCTCCTGACTCTTGCTTGCTTGCAGGTGTTTTCCAGCACAGGACAGAGATCCATAGCTCTGCTGCTGGAGCTTGTCTCCAAGATCGATGCTATCATTTCATTCTCTTTATGAATGCACATGTCACTCCTCCTTGGAGAAATGGAATCTATTCCTCTAACCCCAGGAATCTGGGCTGGTCTGTAACTACTACCAGTAGAATATGGCAAAGTTCTGGGCCTAATCTTTAAGAGGACTGATGGTTTCCACTTCCTTTCTTCTTGAAATAGTTCCTTTCAGAACCCAGCTGTTTAAAGCCTAATTCACATGGAGAGGACACATGTAGGCACTCCAGTTGGCTGTCTCAGTTGACTAATGATAGTTGTCAACCACATGAGTGAGCCATGTTGTAGTCTAGTATATCTTAGCCTTCAGATGACTCCAGCCCCAGGCATAGAAGCCACCTGATTGAACTACATGAAAGACACTGAGCAAGAACCACCTAGCCAAGTCTGGTCAACTCAGAACTGTGAGAGATAATATTGGGTTATTGTTCTAAACCACTATATTTGCAGTGATTTATAACACAGCAATACATAACTGCAATAGGGGCAAAGTGGGAAGCCACAGGCTAAGCATTCCTATGAATGTGGGCATTAAAACTTAGCTTAGTGTGAGGTGGAATTGGTGGTTATTTATAAGATGGAGACAGGTATAGACAAATGTCAATTTCTCTCCATCTTTTTGACTGGTCCTTGGAATTTCATAATTGGACTATTGCCCTATTATCACTTGGATTTATAAATACAAATATGTAGTGTACAAATGTAAATGTTTCTGGGATGGATAATGCTATAAACCAGGGTACAGCAAACTTTTTCTATGTAGGGTCGGATTTATATATTATTATTTATATAATATTTACATCAGATTTATATATATTAAAATATATATATTTTAGGCTTTGTGAGCTATATGGTCTCCGTAGCAATTAATCAACTTGGCCGAGGTGACATAGACGATATATAAATGAATGACACAGCTGTGTGCAAGAAACTTTATTTATAAAAATAGGTGATTGTCTGGTTTTGACCCGTGGGCTGTAGTTTGCCGACCCCACGCTAAAAAATTATTTCTATAGCCAACAGAGGTATTTGGTTATGTTGCTTGAGTCTCATCAGAATTGCATTTGGTTTACGTCTAGCTCCAATTCCTCTTGCCATTTCTTCTGAGTCTCCTTTGTAGGGTTCTCTTCCTAAGTTTGAAATGTGCTCCTCAAGGCTCTCTTCTCTTCTTAGTCTATGCTCTTCTCGGCCATCTCACCTTCTCGAATGATTTCAGTTAATATCAGTTTGCCAACAACTAAAAAAATCTTTCTCTATTCAGTCTTTTATCTAGAACTCCAGACTCCTGTACTTCCCCTTGGATGTCTTGCCAGCACCCTGAGTTCAATCCACTTTTGTGCCAGTTATTAGCCTATAGTCTCTTAACTCCAAACCCATCCTTCTATGATTAGCTCTGTGATGCTGGGGGCTGGAACTCTGCAAACCCCATTTTTGTTTTGCCAGCTGGTAGTCTCTGTCAATAGGAGGCATTAGAGGGGCATTGCAATGCCAAAGGAGAGAGGAGGGCTTGCTGCTGATTTCCTGTCTGCTTGGGGTTCCCACGAGCATCTCTTCAGCAAGGCTTCTTTGCTCTAGAAAGTTATGCTCTTTTCTGTAGTAGTGGTTGAATCTAGTTTTTCCCAAAGTTGCAGAATTACCACCATTACAACTCCCTCCCCACTCCCGCCACCCTTCCTCTCATCAGCACCAGTGAGTTAGTGCCCCCTCCTCAGAAGTCTGGACCTCAACCCTTCAGGATTTCTCCTCCAAGCTCGGAGATAATAGCACCAGCCGAGCAATGCCTCTTAGTGGGAGGTCTGAGTTTTGGTCCACAGCAGGGTCCTGCTTCAAGTTTCTAACTTTTAATAATTCCAATCTCTCCTATTTGATTTCCCAGCCCTAATGGCTGGTAGCTACTCTCTTTAATTGCTTCTTCTGTGCTAAATTATTGTTCTCCTTTGTTTTTTCAGTTACCTAGTTAACAGTGTCATACCTAGTTGACTATTCATTACATTAAATTCCCTTTCAAATATCTGAAGTGGTTTCTGTCTCCTGACTGGACTCTTGAGTTTATATTCTCAGCCCAAAGCTACACTTTTTAAAAAAGATTTTATTTATTTATTTGACAGAGAGAGAGCACAAGCATGGGGAGCAGCAGAGGGAGAGGGAGAAACAGGCTCCCTGTGGAGCGAGGAGCCTGATGTGGGGCTGGATCCCAGGACCCTGGGATCATGACCTGAGCTGAAGGCAGACACTTAACCGACTGAGCCACCCAGGCACCCCCCAAAAGCTACACTTTTGAAGTGCATTCTTCCTTAGTAAATGGCACCAGCAAACCTCTCCCCATGCCCTGTCCAGTGATTCAAACCCAACGTCTGCACATCATTCTAACTTCTGTTCTCTAAACTCCCTTAAGCAATCAGTGAACAAGGACTGTAGATTTGGCTTCCTGCACATTGCTTCTTTCTGTCTGCTTCTTTCCATCTGTATGCCCGCCACCATAGATCAAGCCACTGCCTTATAACTGACCTCCTCATGTTTCTGTAGCTCTTCAATCTGTTCTCTTACTATAGCCCTAGAGATGTATCAAAAACATTTTCCAGATAGTTTCTGAAACATTCCAAATCCTTACCATCATTTATAAGTCTTTCTGTGATTTGACTTCTGCTTCTGCACTTCATTTTGAAATATGTTCCTTGCTCCTTTATTAGTTTTCCTTCCTTTATCAGTTTTTCAATTTGCCATGTTTTCTTTACACTCTTGGTACAAACTCTTCCCTCTTTGTAGAAATCTCTGTTTTCATCTGGCTAACTACTATATATCCTTAAAATGTTGTATTAATATCGCTTTCTCTCCCTCTTTTTTTAAAGATTATTTATTTATTTGAGAGAGAGAGAGAGAACATGCATGAGCATGGGGGGAGGGGCAGAGGGAGAGAGACAAGCAGACTCCCCCGGAGCAGGGAGCCCGATATGGGGCTCAATCCCAGGATCCTGGGATCATGACCTGACCTGAAGGCAGATGTTTAACCAACTGAGCCATCTGAGCACCCCTCAGAGATGGCTTTTCTGACCTCTCAGACCAGATTATATTCCCCTATTTGTTTCTATAGATTATTGCACATCTACTTTTTAACTATAAAATTCAGTAAACTTGTAGCTGTATACTTGTCTTCTTTCCTAGATGGTAAGGCCCGTATAGGCAGGGGCTGAGTTTGTATTGTCTAGCATAATATCTGCAACACCCAGTGTTCTTTCCAGCACAGTAGATAGTCAACAAATATTTGCTGAGTTCAGTTAATTTCTGTTCTGTGCACCCATTTCCTCAGATGCACTAGAATCCATCATGGCTGACTGTTACCTCTTTTTTTTTTTATTTTTATTTTTGGAAGATTTTATTTATTTATTTGACAGAGAGAGACACAGTGAGAGCAGGAACACAAGCAGGGGGAGTGGGAGAAGGAGAAGCAGGCTTCCCGCTGAGCAGGGAGCCTGATGCGGGGCTCGATCCCAGGACCCTGGGATCATGACCCGAGCCGAAGGCAGCCCCTTAACCGACTGAGCCACCCAGGCGCCCCTGACTGTTACCTCTTAAACCAGAGGTTTCTTTGGTTTGCTCTTCTCATATCTGACACCAGTTTACCCCTTATGGATTCTGAAAGTGATTGGAGGAGACTGAATGGGGAGTAGATTGACTAGAATTTATCACCTTTAACTGGACTGGAGACTCAACATTATTTCCTCCTACATTGTCAGAGAGCTCTGTAGTGTCACACAAGTCTTCTGACTACCTGGTGCTAGGTGCATATCTGTGCTTGTTTTATTTAACTCAGGTAGCCAATGAAGGGATGTTCCTCTACTTCTGAACAACCAATATGTTACTCCTCCGCCCAAAACATCACTGTGCTAGTTTCTTTGTTGTTCCCTGAAATGTAGCCATTACTTCTCAAGTGGGGAAAGTGTTGGGGGGGTCGACTAAAACAGAGATGAGAGGGCTTTAAAAAAAATCTATAACAACCAATAATGAAGAAGCAGATAATGAAAATAGAATATGAAAATGAACATAAGAAGACCCATGGAAGCATATGACCACAATCTGTTGGAGAAGCAGACCCGAGGAAATATTATATAAATCCATTTTGATTCTGGTTATACTTCCAGGGAGATAGCTGCATTTATTTAAAAAGGAAAACAAACAATAAAACAACCTGAAGAGCTTTCTTTTCTTTTTATCTTCTAAACAGATTTGACCCAAGATGGACATTTTCTTTGAAGATAATATATTTTTTCCCTTCAGCTGAAAGTTTTACCTTTTGGATTGTATTCCACACACGTTCTTTATTGTTTCTTCTTCCTTCAAGGGTGTCCATAGCATCTGCCATTAGTGACTGCAGCTGTGTCACCAAGATAAAAATTATCAGTGTGGAATTCACACAGAAATAACTTCTCTAAATACACAGATTAAAACCTAATTAAAAAATCATTTGTACGCTGATGATTTTATTACTCATCTTTCCGACAATGAACACTGCCACCTCGTCTTTACTTCAGTCATTACCAAGTATTATTGCAGATATAAAATATTGTGACAATGAAAAGATTCTTCTTGAAAATTTGTAGAAAACATATAGGTTTTAATGTAGTAAGTGTTGATGTTTTGTAAAAAAAACAGATTTGGGTTGTAAAGAATAAAGGCAGTAGTTAATTCCCTCGGGAAATGGCATGTAGTACATGGATGCATTTTAGTATTTTCTCCTGAGGCTAATGTATCATAATTCTAGGCATCATGCAAAAGCTCACCCGAGGACAATACTAAAATTGTGCTGTTTTATTGCCTTTTAAAGGATGTTAGCTCATTTAAATTCTTTTACTGTTCTTTTATTTTCTAAAATTTCAAAATAACCAAGTTGTCTTTTTCAAAGGCAAGTTTAGAAAATTCCACCCTTTGCCCAAAACTGCCGTATTCCAATTTAAAACAATCCTGTGCACATGCTGTATATGTGGCTGCAAAGTAATGAAGCTGCATCAAGCCCTGTGATAATCAAAGCTAAAAAAGAAAGTTCTCTAAATAAAACAAATGCCAGTTCAGTTCACTGTGGCATCAGAGTATGAACTCTCAGATAATCTCTCTCTACTTCAGATATTGCAGAGCTTAAGCAGGAGGGCAGAGAGTTGAGTCACTCAAGACTCTTCTGTTGAGCAGTCCCTGTTTATGTAGCACCATAAAAGATATTTACTAGGATTTATTTTCTAGGTTAACCTATGCTTGGAAGTTGGAAAGTAAAATCTATTACTTCAGGTGATGAAATCTTGCAAGATACATGATTTCTAAATATTTGGCCTATACATATACATTCACATACATTAATTTTTTTCCTAGTAGGCATATAAATTGTGAAAATATCCCCTGAAATCCTATTTTCCAAGGTTTCAGATAGTGGGCTATTGCACTAACATGTGAGTAAAAGATGTCAATAATGCTAGTTTGATGCTCTTTGTTTATATTTGGAAATATATTTCCAGAAAAAAAAAAAAGCTGCAGACATGTGGTTAAGAAAACCTAAGTGCAAGAAACTCCCCTGTATTTTTCATTTAAATCTTGAATGTGCTTTTCAGGAAGACATGATCAACACTGTGCCAACTTCTTAAATTAACATTTTCTTTGCTTCCTCTTATCTCAGAGGAGCATTAATCATCTAAAATTGGCTATAATACGCACTTTGAAAACTCCATACTTACTGCATTCCTGAATGCCTTATGAGTGGTAGGATAAACACTTAGTCTTTTAGAAGGTGTTCCGCTGCACAGAACCGTAAAGGTTTAGAAAGTATTCTTGCCAGTTTTGACTTAGTAATTCCCTGATTAATAGACTTTTTTTCACCCCACAGTTTTAAACTTTAGTACGCATAGTTTTATTATTTGGCGAGTCAGACCATTTTATATACTTACTTTGAATATCGGTATTTATTCAATACTCTTTTATAGGGTCAGATGAACATTATAAATGTTGGCAGTTCATTTCTTGATGGATTAATTTGTTACAACTTTAAAGCTCAAAGAGGGAGGGTTGCTTTAGTTATCTGAAAATTACAGGTGATCAGTTTGGGCTGTTCTCATCCCTGCTACGTGAATTCAATTCAGGTCTATTATTAGTTTTAGCTACCTTCAATTAAAGCCTCAAAGTAAAGAGCCCTTCCCTATGACACATTAGGATCTCCATATACAGTAAATTTTACCTTTCCTTGAATGGCCCTCACACTGGTTAGTAATAGTTTTACAAATGAGGAGCCATCATTTCTAATATTAATTATGGTTATAATATACACATCTGTTTGAAGATTTTTCTGTGAGATATTCCTTCAACTAATTTTTGACCAGCTCTGTGTTTTCTGAGTTAATTGGCCAATTTAGTTAAAAAAAAAAATCATTTGACTAACTACATTTTCCCCTCCAATGAAACAACTGTTTTATCTAAATGTACCAGTGTGGGGGCGCTGGGTGGCTCAGTTGGTTAAGCATCTGCCTTTGGCTCAGGTCATGATCTCAGGTTCTGGGATTAAACCCCATGTCGGGTTCCCTGCTCAGCAGGGGTCTGCTTGAGGATTCTCTCTCTCCCTCTCTCTTTGTTCCTCGCCCCACTACTGTGCTCTCCCTCCCTCTCTCTCTCTAAAATAGACAAATCTTAAAAAAAAATGTACCTGTGTGTGTGTGTGTGTGTTGGCACCACCAACATATATATGACACTAGAAATGAATAAGAAAACTATAAAGACTATTTTGTGGGGTTGGTTTTTATATAGCAATTACTCTTGTCCTCTCACTTTCCCTTACAAGAAAATTATATATTAACATATCTTGGAGTTTAAGAAATAATTTATTATAATTACACTTTATTTAAAACAAAAAGCTTGATCCACGATATGAATAATCAGCCCTTTTCCATGTTTTTACACATCACAAAGTTTTTGCTATAAAAATGGAAGCTAGGCAATGAGAACAAATAAAAGACAGAAACACCTTTCTACATTTTCCAGTTTCTTTATTAAAATGCCTCAGGAGGGTTGGGCAGTTTGCCCTCAGACTACATTGATTCTCACAAATTTTCTTTTCAGAACATATCACTCTTCTGTTAGCCCAGGGCCCGTGAAAGCCTTAAACAAAGAAAAACACTTACCAATTCCGCCTCCTGTTGACTGATGTCCTGTAGATAGGGAATGGTGGCTAGCTCCGCCATTGCTTGATTGATCACCTGGGACTGCTCCTTTACTCTCTGCAGTTGGCTGAGGAGGCTGGCGTATTGCAACTTCTCCATCACACCTGAGCACCTGTGGAAACTCCCCTAGTCTCCCAGTAAAAGGAAATGTTTTAGAACAAAAATCACAGAAATCCCTGGGGATCACAGTCAGGGATTATTGTACTATATTTACATCCTTTGAAGCAATGGGTACCTAGCACAAATAAATGTTTGTTTCCATTATTTTAGAGAATCGTCTGTACTGTTCCTTCAAACAGATGAATGTATATAAAGGGGAATGCTTTGCAAGACTGTTCAGAAAGATTTGCAGGTGGGGGCGCCTGGGTGGCTCAGTTGGTTAAGTGACTGCCTTCGGCTCGGGTCATGATCCTGGAGTCCCGGGATCGAGTCCCGCATCGGGCTCCCTGCTCAGCGGGGGGTCTGCTTCTCCCTCTGACCCGCTTCCCTCTCGTGCTCTCTGTCTCTCATTCTCTCTCTCAAATAAATAAATAAAATATTAAAAAAAAAAAAAAAAAAAAAAAAAAAAAAAAGATTTGCAGGTGGCCCTGCATAAGGAACCTGGGCTGAGTGGAAAAGAGGGGACTGAAATTGAACATGCATTCCATTCTCCTAGTGGGGATCCCACAAAGTCGTGTTCGTTGAAAGAGGGTGACTTTTTCTATGTCATCAAAACATCATAGGAGTAAGAGTTGCCTGTTATTTTGTTTCTTTTCTTTTTTTAAAAAATTTTATTTATTTGTCAGAGAGAGCGAGAGAGAGCGAGTGAGAGAGAGAGAGAGAGCACGTACAAGCAGGGGGAGTGGCAGGCAGAGGGAGAAGCAGGCTCCCTACTGAGCAAGGAGCCTGATGGGGGACTTGATCCCAGGACCCTGAGATCATGACCCGAGTGGAAGGTAGATGCTTAACTGACTGAGCCACCCAGGCACCCTATTTTGGGCTTTCTTAAAATTGGGCATACTCTTAATAAGGTGGCCCACCTATGTGTTTTTCAACTGCCAGCCATAAAAGAGGAGACATTACCTTCTCTAAAAATTTGAATACAAATTGTACTTCTTGATAGGAGAAATAAAGTTTATCATAAAATTCTCATTTATATTAGGAAAAAGGGGGCATAAAGGGTATCTAAGAGTTAATAGAAAAGCTTTAGATTTCTGCTGTGTGTGTAGGATGGTAAGAAGTGGGAGGTTGCAGGAGGACTTAATTTGGCAACTGCATTCTGCATCCTGGTGCCAGAAGAGAAAGTCTGGATGACCAGTGTTCCTTTATAACAGGGTTCCTCCTGGATCACCTGTACCAGAATCACAAGGTTTTGTTAACCAGGCAGAGTCCTGGGCCTTACTCGGTGAATCACATATCTCTTGATATGTGGCCCTAGGAACACTAATTTTAGCTAGGTGCCCCCTCCGCCCCCCATATTCGAATATCTCAAATGGAAGTTGAACAAACCACCATCTTAAAGCCTAGTATCTGAACAAGGACTATTTTAGTTTGTGCATGCTTATAAAACACATTTTACTCCCCAGACATTACAGAAGGCAGACATGATTTTTTCTTCTTCAAATAGAATCTCTTCTAAAGAGAAAAATTACTAGAAACTAGCATTACTAAAGAGCATCTGAATTTCAACTTGAATTTGCAAAGCAGTTCTTTCTGAAATGTCACACTCATATTTTGATGGACACTGACCTCTAGAAGTTGGCACTTTTGTAGAATCTTGGTAATACGGGAAGGTTGAGCACCATTGCATTGTATTTGCTGTGTGTCTCCCTAACACCTATCTATGCCACTTGACTAATGTCCCTCTATCCCTGCTAATTTGTTCTTTATGATTAATCATTTATCTGAAAACCTATAAACCTATAAGAGCAATGATTGCAAATTGTGGATTTGGGATCCCTTCTCTGACTTGACAAAATAGCTAGCCTACACATTTAGTTTAAACATGCAGCTAAACAATGGGATTCTGTCAAATAGAGAAAAGCAAGTTGCAGGAGAAACCGTTTTCTTTCTGAAGAAAAATTGCTTTCTTTGTTCTTCTTTAAAATAAACAATGGGGCTCCTTGTAGGAAAGTAGTGTAGTGACTCAACTCCAAAGAGCAGAAACAACAGCAGTCTGCTCGGGAACATAATCTATCAGTGTAATTTTCCAAAACATCAGGAAAATAAAAATAGTGGAAGGCACTGGTGCTTTGTTAGCTTGATTGTTGGATGCATAACAAAACAGGAAGTGCTCCATACAAATCAGATACTAGGGACAGAACATTGTTGACTGCTAATAGTCACCTATCCTCCTCCTCTCCCCAAAGCCAATGCAGTTTTGGGTATCAGGAAACTAATAGATTAATATGTTACCTATATAAGATGGGGGTCTTTGAGAGACAAAATGAAAAAGAAGTACAAATGCTATCTAATGCCAGGAGGAATGTTTTACTGCTGTTGCTTTAAGAAAATAAAGGAAATAATGAAACATGAAGGAAGTAGGTTAAACATCTAATGTTACCAAGAGCTAAATCTAAAGGAGAAGTAGCCCTCCCTATGAGACTTCAGGAGTGATCAAAGGGGTCTTTAGCTGCTGGGGAGAGTGTAATAAAGTGGCCAAGATTGAAGCTAAAACCTCACACAGGTACAATGAAGGTTAGGTAAATAGCAAGCTCAAATGAAGGCTTCAGTCAGAGATTTGCCTAGATTTAATAGCAGGTATGGTTAAATGTTTGGCAAATAAGTGGTACCGTGTAATACCACCAGAAAGCAGAGCCCAAGTATTTGGAATATATTTCCATTTGACATACATATAGAAACATTAATTGCCAAAAAGGGATAGAAAACGCATATTACTGTTCATTTCAAATGTGTATATGTAAACATTTTTTATGCTTCACTTAGAGGAAATTAAAAGTAAAATTAATGAGGTATTAAAAACATGGTTAGGTCATTTTTTGGCAAGTCAGCCTGTGAAGAAGGCTTCACGCACGGCAAGAGATTTTATTATTTTAACCCTTTAACATTTAACCCAGGAAGCACAGTACATAAGGTTTGCAACTGACAGCAGCCAATAAAGTTAATGAATGGAGAAGCACAGTGGCATCCGGTAGCATGTGAAATAACTAGGACAAGGATCCAGAGAAGGAAAAATACCATTAGGGCAGAGCTACTGGTTGAATGGGATTGCTGTTCAGTGGGATTAAAAGCCACCAGGTAGGAAGGTGGTAGAATATTTGAGATTATAACTCTTACATTGTCAGAATCATTCTTGTTTGGCCATGTGTCACTGTTGTATGCCTAGTAAAAAAATCTATAAGGATAAGGAAACTGGGATCAGAGTGTAAGGAGAATCATTGCCTAATACGTAGAAACCTCCCTCATACTCTCCTTCTACAATTTTATGGCAAGAGGTGAAAATTCACGTTCCCTGGGAAGGCCTATTCTGGTTAGTAGATCTACTCCATGGCTGGAGATGACACTTCTTTTTTTTTTTTTTTTTAAGATTTTATTTATTTATTTGAGAGAGAGAATGAGATAGAGAGAGCATGAGAGGGGGGAGGGTCAGAGGGAGAAGCAGACTCCCCGCTGAGCAGGGAGCCCAATGCGGGACTCAATCCTGGGACTCCAGGATCATGACCTGAGCTGAAGGCAGTCGCTTAACCAACTGAGCCACCCAGGCGCCCCTGGAGATGACACTTCTAATCCTGCCTTTGTGAGTAGATCTGAGCACATTAGTGATCTGAGGAAAAAAATTAGAAATCTATAGGACACTCACATAATCTTCATTTCAGAAGGACATATCATTTCAGAGTACACACTTCTATCAAGAAAGAGAAAGGTCTATAAAACAGTCCTTTTGTCAAAGCACACTAAAAACCACTACAAATAATTAAAACTTCTGAAATGTGTAATGCTGAACAAAGTGCTTCAACATGGACTATGTACTTTGGATCTCACAACAGCTCCATGAGGTGGGCATGGCAGATATCAGCTTATTTAATAAATGAGAAAAAATAGCTCAGAGGTTAAATGACTTGCCTTAGGGTTACACAGACAGAGCACAACTATGGACAAAAGTCTTCATCTATAGGCGGTACAAGTGAGGGTGACAACTAATAAGAACAATGCAATACCTAAACATTCAAGTGGACAGCATTTGCTATGTGGCAAGGAAAAACACACTTCAGGGAATCTTAAAAACACTGTTGAGTGCTTCTTGGGTCACAGTTAATGGTACCATGTAGGAATAATTTCTACTCACCAACTCATTACTTGCTTCATTAAGCTAGGTTACCTTTGCAGCCAATTTTATTCAGTCCTGCTTTATGGAGCTGTGGTTGGGCATATAATAAAAAACCTAGAGGCCAATATTTGGATATACTTGTGGTCCCTGCGTACCTTCTGGCTCACTTGCTTCAATTCCATTAAACTCTTTGTGATAATCTTCCAAAAACTATTATTTCCCATAGAAGCTAACATAGAAACGTTGATAAAATTCCTTGCACAGTACTGACTCATTTTAAAGAACATTGAGTTACTAGTTAGATGCCAAGAATCTTAGTTATGGTTTTCAAATTTCCTTTATAGACACATAAAGATACAGGCATATACCAATTTCTAAGTGGCTAGAATGCCGTTTGAAGGGTGAAAAGAAAATGAGTTAAGAACATTTAAAAAGTGCATGATGCCTAGATGGGCCCAACCTGCATACAGGACACACTGAGATATGAGCTGGCAAGAGGTGATGTGGCCAGTGTCCTGACAAGTAACAAGCTATGGCAGGTATTACCCCAACGAGCCAGGACACAGATCACTTCCACAACTTCTAGTACACTGGCTCTTCTAGGCTAACCATGAACCGATGAGGTAAAATAATGCTGTATGGTGATGGTTCTTGTTAACAAAGATTCCACTACGTGCAAGGGTCTGATGATGACAAGGATGATGTATGTGGATCTCTAATTAAGATGGGAGGTTGGTGATGGTGTGTGTGTGGCTGGAGGAGGTTATGATAGAGGGTAAATTGGAGGACAGGACCTAAAATCTGTGGTAGAGCCAATGAGATTGCTGTAAACTGAACGTTTGTGTCCACCCAAAATTCATATATTGAAGTCCTAACCCTCAATGTGGTGGTATGGTGATGGGGCCTTTCGATTAGACAAGGTCATGAGGGTGGAGGCCTCATGATGGGATTGATGTCCTTATACAAAGAGACACCAGAGAGCTTACTCTCTGCCATGTGAGACAAGGTGGGAGTCTGCAAGCCAGGAAGAGGGCCTTCATCAGAACCTGACCATGCTGACACCGTGATCTTGGACTTCTTGCTTCTAGAACTGTGAGAAAAAAGAGATGGATTTCTTCATAATAGAAATATAGGGGAGATAATCGAGTGGAACACAGTTATGGGGAGGGGGGAGATATGTGGTAGGAAAATGGGTAAAAATGTGCTTTTGTATTTGTAATGCATAGAATTACAAATCATGCAAATAGATTAGGGGTTTTATAGCTTTTCTAAAATGCTGAATAATGTTATTGAGCAGATAAACTGCTGAACAGATGTTAAGTAGCTGTTTGTGATGACCCCCTTGGTTCCTCTTGTAAGGTAAGAACATCAAATCAATGATGTAATACAGAAGCCACAAAAAGAAAATTCTTCAAAATTTCCAGCTTACAGGCCTTTTGAAAAATATTTTAAAAAGGGGAAATCTGCAACATTTATAGCCTGTTAATGAGAAGTTCCCTTTATGTTCTTTCAGTATAATGGCTTAAATTTTGTAAAACAGCATAGCATAATTTAGGTCTTATTTTGGGCTTTTTAACACTGAAAAGTAGAAAGGGCATATTTTCCCCAGATCAGAAATAGGGATTAGGTAACTTGCCCTAAGGGTATACAAAGATCAATTGCCAGTGCTTAGGGAAGCATCCAATTTATCAGTGTGGTGTGGAGGCACTAGTTTGAAAACTCCAAATTCTTGTGTAGGTAACAAAATAGTTATGCATAATAGCCCAGTGTATGAAATAGGGAAACACTGTGTTTACTAAAATTTTGTTATTGATCTGAAGTAAGAAATGCACTGCAAACTTGAATTAGATAGCAGGAAGGCACAAAGAAGAAGGCTCTTCAAAGAGCTGGGATGCCTGGGTGGCTCAGTCAGTTAAGCGTCTGCCCTCAGCTCAGGTCATGATCCAGAGTCCTGGGATTGGGTCCCACATTGGGCTCCCTGCTCAGCGGGGAGCCTGCTTCTCCCTCTCCCTCTGCCGCTCCCCCTGCTTGCGCGCTCTCTCTCTGACAAATAAATAAATAAATAAATAAAAATCTTTAAAAAACCTACAAAAAGCCACTAGCCTAATAAATGCTGGAAATTGCAAAGTATAGCATTGTAATAGGTTTTAAAATATAAAAAAATCGTTAGCTAAACTTTGCTTGGTTTTGCAGAGGAGATTTACCATGAATGTTTCTAAAACCCTCCAATACTTGCAATATTTGTACCATAAACTTTCCATACTTCTAGAATTGTCTAATATTTGTGCATTGGACAAATATAAAAGACTCATATACTTACATTCAATTGGGTGCTTCTAATAAAATCCAATATTGGCAAGATTCGCTTCCCCATTGTCTCCATGTGTCTCACTGTGTCTTCTTTGGTCAGCGGACTGAAGGGAGTTTTATGTTCTAAAAATTGTAGCAATAAACTTTTATACTACTTTTTCCAGACTTCCATTTCAAAATGCTTTCTTTAGCAAGCTATAAACAGATATCTCAATGTTAATAGATATGAAATCTTTAGTGTAGAAACTAGCACCATCCCTAGACCACATGCATAGCAATGAAAGATCTATGAGGAGAAAGGCAGAGGAGACATTGCCCTTTAGAGACTATCATTTATTCATTTTGTTGTGTTTCCTGATTGAGAGATCTAAGAGACAGCCTATAACAATTCATCCCTCTCTGCAGAGTATGTTTTTCCCGACTTGTGAAAAAATGTTGTCATAAATGTGTCTGATTGTTGTTTTGTTCCTCCCAGGTATTATTCAAGTGTGCAGATCCCATTGACTTTGAATGTAGCTTGAAGTTGAGCTAAGTCTCAGAGAATAGAGTGCCAGACAAAACACAAGTCCTTAATTATGTGGGTAGAGTTGAAGGAAGAAATTCAACCTGTCGTGAATTTTGCCCACAAATCTGAGACTTCGACTCCATGTGAATATTTTCTTGAGTTTTGGAAGTTTCAACAGAATTACTGAATACCATTTAACTGTAATAACTCTTCAGGAGATCTAAGCTCTCGGTTAACCACGTAAGAAAAGAGTGGAACAAATATCAATATAATAACAGATAATCCAAGTGATTTAAGTTTGTCATTGGCTATATTTTTGATTTCACATAAGTATTTTGGATAATTTTCTTCTACATTTGTTAATTGATTATGACAAAAACTTGTATTCTTAAGTGCCTTATGCTTAGGCACTGGTGATAGCATGGTTGGGGTGAGATGGTTGGAGTGAGGGAGGCGGACATTCTAGAAATGTGTTGGTCTTGGGGGAACCTGAATCCCAGGTATTGTTAACTAACCCACAAGGAAGATTGGAAGGAGTTCATTATAACCTGATAAACATTTTTTGGGGGCCTAGCCCATCTATATGCTAGGCCTTATGATGAATAAGACTTGATGAAGAATGCACAAATCCTGCCTTGTAACAGCATTAAAAGATAAAAATAAGTCCAGGTGATTTACCTGTAAATGTAGGCAGCCTTCTACTTGATAGTTTTTCCAAAAATTTCCCATCTTCTTTGTTTTTGAACCCAAGAGTCAGGAGATATTGTTGGGGAGGAAAAGATGACCAGTCAACTGTCTGAGGCAATATGTGGAGTCCTTGGAGATCTGAAATACAACAGGAAATGAACGAAAGACATTGATAACAAAGGGTATTTTTTTCTCTCCTAAATTTTAGGAACTGTACTTGGAAGACATGATAAATATAAATATTAAAGGTACAAAGTAAAAGTATATGTATCGAAATGTCAAATAGATGATATATCAAAATCACATTTCATTATTTATACTTTTCTTAAAATATAAACACACACAGAACATAGTAGTATAATATGGTTGGGTTCCATGGATCTCTTTCCCCATATTCAAAATAATAGAAAATTGAGGACCAGCTTGTAGGCTTAATAGTTTTCTATGTGCTCTTTTCAAGAGAATTTGATTTTTCTGTTCATAGTTTAAGATTTAAAGAAATAATGTTATACGAAAGGAAAGAGAACAATTACCAAGTGAGAATTAAAATATCAGGCAATTTAGTTACCATCTCTCCCATAGCTAAAGAAAATTTGAAATGACAAATGTACCGACTTTTGCAATTGACTTGGAAATAATTCAAGTGTCATGAAAAAGGTTGTAAAACAGACTCATCTACTTACTGACCATGAGAGCTATTTACTGAGCCCTTACTTTCTACCTTCCCTTCTTCTAAGTACTTTGTGCAGATTGTCTCTTTTTTAATTCAATTAATTAATTTATTTATTTTTGTGCATAATTTTTTATTTATTTATTTTATTTTTAAAAATTATTATGTTAATCACCATACATTACATCATTAGTTTTTGATGTAGTGTTCCATGATTCATTGTTTGCATGTAACACCCAGTGCTCCATGCAGAACGTGCCCTCCTTAATACTCTCTCTCCTTTTTTAAAGATTTTATTCATTTATTTATTTTAGAGATAGAGGGAGGGAGGGAGAGAGAGAATGAGTAAGCAGGGGGAGGGGCAAAGGGAGAGTACAAGCAGATTCCACTTTGAACAAGGCACCCAAGGTGGGGCTCGGTCCCAGGACCCTGAGATCATGACCTGAGGCAAAATCATGAGTTGGGGGCTTAACCGACTGAGCCACCTAGGTGCTCCAGTGCAGTGTCTTTTTAAATCCTCATGATAACTTCACAAAATTGGTGCTTTGTCCCCATTTTATGAATAGGAAGTTGAGGTACACAGATGGGAGGTGACTTACAAAAGAACACAACCTATAAGTGGACAAAGCAGGATTCACACCTGGCCATCTGACTCCAGAAACCTAACCAATGTATTCTGCTTCAGGCTGGCTTGGCTCTTGATTACTTTCAATATAGGGACAGATGTCATCTGTGGAGTCTTGGTGGCCAGATTCACTTAATTCATTTCCATTCTGAGTAATAAAGCTTTGGTTAATTGTGATAGACTTCACAAATGAAGGATGATGAACAGAGGGTTTAATGAGCTCTCCCTACTTAACACTGCCAGAAAGGGAAAAAGACGAAATTCCAAAAATCCTTGAATTATGATTTAGTGAAAGGTCAATTTTTAATGTAGAATTGGAACTTAAATGGTAATGATTCAGATATAGCCTTCATTATTTATCTGTAATCTGTCTTTAAAAAATAATAGACGCAGGGGTGCCTGGGTGGTGCCGTTGGTTAAGTGGCCGACTCTTGACTTTGGCTCAGGTCATGATCTCACGGTCCTGGGATTGAGCCCCTCGTGGGGCTCTGAGCTCAGCACAGAGTCTGCTTGAGATTCTCTCTCCCTCGCCCTCTGCCCCTCCTCCTGCTTGTGCACTGTCTCTCTCTAAAATAAATAAATAAATCTTAAAAAAAATAATAGATGTAGTAAACCATGAGTGTTTTTTATCCACCCTCCCTGGCATCCTCCATTCTTGTTTTTAGCTGCAGAACCCTTTGTTCAAACTAAAATTTACTAAGAAGCCTCAGATTTAAAGTTGCTAAAAGTAGAGCTGTTCTGTTTGGAGCCTAGGACACTGACCACCCACCCTCGTGATTATACCCCATTCTACACCTCACATGCAATAGCCGCCTTAAACCCTTCCCCAGAACAATTTTTCAAAGCTCTTTGGCACATTTTGGTTAAGTAAATAGGGTATGCTTGTCAAACAGAGAGTTAACATGTATGCTTACTATCGAAAAAATTAAAATATCACACAATATCTTTTAAACACACAGAACAAAATATATTAGACATGCTTTAGCCTTTCTTTGGTGACTCAAGATCAGAAATCCCTTTAGATTTTTGAGGGCTAACATTTATCTGGCACTTCTGTGCTATATACTTTTTCAGGATTATCTTTTTCACTAACAACCATTCAGGACAGGGCATATTATTATGCCCAGCTTACAGATGGCAAAACTGAAGCTTCAAGAAGAGGTTGCAAACTTGCCTAAAGTCACACAGTGAGCAAATGGAGGGGCCAGAATTGAAAGTCAGGGAGCTGGACATCAAAACTTAATTCCCAAAACTATCCCCAGGACAATTTAGCCATGACAATAATCATCACTCTGAAAATCAATGGGAAAGGTTCCAGAAGCATGGCAATGCCAATAAATAGATGGTTTTAACAGACACGATTCTAGATAGAACATTTCCTACCCTGTCTAAAAAAGTACAGCAAGCACACAAGGGTTCTCAGAACTAATAGAGTAACTTTTGTGTTCTTTAACGTGCAGATTCAACATGCCTCTTGAGTTGGTGTTTGAATTACGAACTGCTTCTACTTAAAAGGAGGTCTCATTTCTATAAACAAGATAAAAATGTGATTTCTGCATTTCAATTTCAAAAGTGCAGGAAGTTTCTTTGCTTTTGAAATCTGCATTAGATCATCACAGAAACACCTAATACTGCTTGCTTCCAACCTAATACTGTCTTGCTCTATACGGTAAGGGAAGAGTTTGTCAGTTTTGCTGAAGTTGCCAATAACCAGATCACTTGAAAAAGCAACAAAGTAAAAATAAAAAGGACACTAGCTCACTCTCCTGATAAATGGTCATCACATTTCTTTTGATTGTGGTCATCCTTTAGCACTCTATGAGATGCCAGCATTTATAAATTGTCAGCATTTTCGGGAATTGACATACTCTGGAGGTTGAGGCCAGAACGTATGTGATCCCTGGCTATGGTTTGCTTTTTAATCTGGTTTTGATCCCTGACTTAGAAGGCCTGAGGGCCTCCAGGCCATGCTGGGGATGATGATGGGGGCTGTCCTATGGAGATGATCTTGGCTTCTTGGGTGTCTCTGGAAGGCCAGAAGCCCCCGGAATAGGTGTGGGAAGCTTTTATGGCTGCTCTGACCTCCACACAAACCCAGAGAGCATGCAGACATAGAAGCTTCTGGATCCCAGGGCTGAAATCTGTTAGCACAGGGAGGGATCCCGGCAGGACACCTTTAAAACTTTAAGGCCTACACTGAAGTGATAGGATGCCCCAGAGCGGCAAAGTTCAGAAGTGACTGGGGTATGCTGTCCAGAGGCTGGTGTTTGTAGTGGGTTTGCAGGGAGCATCTTGAGATTTGTCATTTTCTGGTGCAGTTCTATTGCCAGAAGCAGCCAGATGTTTGAGAGCTCGATTATATAAATAACAGGAGGACTTTGAGAGGTTGAATTCTTCTTGCTCGTAAATATTGGGTGGATAAAGAGGAGACTGATACTAATAGTGCCAGTGATTAGATTGACTAGTGAAACTAATGTCAGCCCTATAGCTAGTTTATTATAAAATATGCTTGCAAAAATAAAAGTATTTTCTGTTCCTTTTGATCCTATATGTTTCATCTTGTGTGTTCGATCTATTATTAACTTCTAGTCGAAGTTTTAAAATGTGAGAGGCCCCTACATTCATACTGTTAAGTTTAGAAAAAATATTTTTTAAAGTATCATTCTTATTCGATTTGTATGCAGAGTAAATTGCAGTTGTATGAACATTTAGCCTAGCAGGTGGTCTATGACCCCAAATGACGACATACTTACCAGATGTTGAATCTCATGTAACATTAATTTGAGTCCTAATTGTTCTCAATTTTATGCTCATAAACCTCTACCTACGTCCGAAAAGCCCTGTGCCCCTGATGGATATGAAAGTTAACCAGATTGTATTTTTTTGTTCTTTGGTAGGAAAATTGAATTGATTAAAAATGTCTTCTTTGCTTCTGTCATGCCAGAAGAACTGAGAAGAAAGAAATAAATACCTTAATGCATCCTTTGAAAATTTATCACAATTAGAGATGAAATTTAGATGACCATGACCAAATTTATTATTAAAAGATCAGTTTGCAGGTATGACATAGTTCCAAGTTTTTACCACTAGGACAATGGATGCTTTAAGAAAGAATATCAAAGATAGGTTATGCAGATTATGTTTCCTACAGAAACGTAATCTTGCAATTCTTTTTGAAAGATGTCTCACCTCAACAAAAAAGGATACAGTTTGCCCTTTATCAAGAATCTTTCATCGTACCACAGAAGGCTGGAACTGACCAGTTTTCAGGTCTTCAAATCATTCATGCAGCTTGACCTTCTGTAGGATTGCCCTCCTCCTCCTCCTTGAAGTCACTTCCCTGGAGTTCAGTGACAGGCTCTTTACTTTCTTTCTCTCTGTCTCTGTCTGTCTCTATTTCCCCCTCTCTCCTACACATACACACACACCTTCTGGTTCCTCTTTCTCCCTTGCTCCTCCTGCCTTCTCAGTCAGTGCTCTCCCAAGCTGTCCCTGGCTCACTGATGAGTTCTTCATACACACACTCTTGGGGGCTTTCTCTATTTTTGTGGCTTTAGCTACTACTTCTAAACAAAAGGTTAGAGATCAAAGCTCTAGCCTGGTCTGAAAAATCTTCACCAAATTCAAACACAGCATTTCCAAATGCCTCCTGGGACATTGCTATTGACTCATCATTACAGAAATTACCAGAAGGCAGCAAATAGATTCTTCAAAAGTGATTTTTATAATCTCCACAACTTCCCTCTTCCTTGCTTTTCACCAATGTGTTGTAAGGATAGCCATTATTCACCCAATTATTTGGGCTTAGAATCTGGAAGCCATTGTTGACTTTTCTTTCCTCTT